CCCCAAAACCCCAAAACCCCGAGAGACAATATGTCACAATTTAAGATAACAATAAATACTAAATTTTGTAATGATGACTAAAATTATATAATTATCTATTGTAAAATTTTATAATGGATCTTATCTCTGATTCTTATCACAACTTGGATATAAATATAAATTCATTGGGAAATGATGCATATAAATTTCGAATGAACATAGCAAATAGTGGGTCCTAGGCTTTATTTGAACCCTCTGATTGGTATGCCTGTAAGTGATTTCTACTCAATATTATAAGTAATTAATTTCCAGATGTAATCATGGCAATAATAAGCACAGCGTATATTGTCTAGATAGTCTACATATTTAAACACAGAAAGCATATGGGTGTTATAAACCGCTCACCATGGCTTATTTTATTTGGAGCTACAGGTATCTATCATTCTTAATATTATTTGTAGTATTACTAGTTGATAGTATTTTGAACTTTGTTATATAACTTAATAAATCTGATGATATTTAGTGCATTGTAGGAATTCTTACCACTGTCACTAATTACTATATGGCCTGGGTAGCTATAGCATTAAGGTAATTACTTTAGCTCTTACTTTTAAAAATTTGTTGATTTAGTAAAGAAAATTTAATTATTTTTATAGAGCTTATCGTTTGAGGAAAGTATTCGATTGCTACAATCAACATTTGGCACACTTGCAACAAAAATAAGACCGATTAGATGAGATGGAGTCAACTACTGAATTGTCTTTTGAAGCAGGAGACACTGATTAGTAGGGAATAAGAGTTCTTAAACAGCTAAAGGAGAAAAACTTGATTGCTTGGGTTATGCTAATATTTATATTGCCAAATTTCATCCTAGGAATTATAGCTATTTTTGTTCCTTACGTTTATGTCGCAATTCCTATTTATGAAACCCAGTAATGCATGAAGTACTACGGAGATAGTTTTTTCACAGATCTTCTAAAAATCAATCTTTCTTCTACTGGATATTGTGCTATATCAGTATTGAATATTTGCACTTTCATTATAGTCAATTGGCTTTAAACACTAGTACTTATCCTTTTGTTTTATCGCCTCAGAAATATCAAAGATGAGCTTAACATTAAGCAAGAAATAAGAATAATCATTATCATTTGGATTTCATTTTCTCTAGCTTACTTTATAACACTGCAATACTAGCAATATCACTAGGATGAAAATAATAATGCTACTAGGGTTGCTATCTTCTGCTTCATATTACTCAGAAATATCGGGTCAGTCTCTGTTTCAACTTATTTCTGCTATTTCATGGTTAATAACCCAGTACTCTCTTACTCTAAGCCTGATTACCCTACTTAGTTATTTGATTTTGAAGAGGCCATATTAGAAAGTGTTCTTCCGTACAAGTATTTCAGGAAGTTTATCGAAGATGAACAACCAGAATAGCTTCCCTTCTTATAGATTTTAGTCTCCTTTAAAAAGCTAAAGACTTTCAATAGAGCTCTAAATAATCAAGAGTACAATAATACTATTGAGAAAGAATAGCTGGAAACTGAGAGGCATTAGATCTATGAGGAAATCTATGTAACTTACAAAGATAATCACTATCTCTTCAGCTAGGATACTTGTGATGAAATAAAATAAGATAATGTAATAGAACGCAGTAATTCAAATAAGAGTTCCATCAATGCGGATTCAATCACAGAATTGGAAGTAGAATAGTTATTTAATTTTAGCAAGATAAAGCTAAGGTAGCTGTATTAAAGGCAATTTATTGGATCTGAGCTTTCAAAAGTATTGATATAAGAACTTAGTAACAGTATAATTGAGTTTAGATTCTTATAAACTGCTGGTCTTATAAACTGATTTCAAAAAGAGAGTATTATAAATATCATCAGAAATAGTAAATTGGTCACTCAAAGGATATCTTAATTTATCTTAATTTATTAATAATTTTAACTATCGCTATTTCAATGCAAGGGGTTTTGGGGTTTTGGGGTTTTGGGG